TGGACACAGGCCTTTAGAGACGTATTAAATGTACACGGAGAGAATTTTTCTTACAATTTGTCCTGAAAATTATGTAATCATGGGACAACGTGGCATTTCAAAGAATTTTATGAGAATTTCTTTTTTTAATTTTACCGAACATTCTACTAGCAATTGTACCTCAAACCGGAAGGTTTCTCACCTTGCAGCGGCACTTGACGCACTTCATCTCGCCGTGCGAGTGCAAGCGGGGATGCCACTCTATGCCGTTCTCGTAAGGCCCGCCTAGGGGGTACTTGCAGCCACCAGAAGAGAGTATCTCCTCCGCGGTGCGCCGCGTCGACGGCAGGGCCTGGTCCCGCGGCAGCCGCACGGCATCGCTTGCCGCGGTGGTGGCTACGTTGCTGCGGGGCGTCGTCGCCGGGCACTGCTTGCAGCAGGCCTTCTTGTCCGGCCTGAAGGCGATCTTCTCGTCGCACTCGAGCGGCGGGCACTGCACCCGCGGGCATTTCACCTCCAGCGTGTCAGCCTGCGAGACAAATGGATTTCCGATGTTAATCGCGGAGGTGACCTCTCGTACCCGGCCGCGCCCCGTGCGTACCGCACGCGTTTCACGCGTTTCGCTCGCTTCAATCGGGGTCGCGTTTCACCATTTATTACCGGAGCCTCTGTGGCGATTCAGAGACTTCATCCTGACGTCTTGGAGGCGTACCGAGTGTACACGGAAGTTTTTTTTAATTTATCCGGAAAATCATGTAATCGTGGGACAACGTGGCATTTCAAAGAATTTTACGAGAGTTTTTTTTGCAATTTTACCATACATTCTACTAGTAATTATACTTATATTTTACTAGTAGAATATATGGAAAAATTTCATACAGATCTCATACAGTGATCAACAGAATGATTGCGACCATGGACGTAGAAATACCTGGACGGAGCATAGTGCCGCGGGGGTTGTTGATCAGAGAAATACGTCCGTCAAGTACGGTAGAAACCTCCTGAAACACCCTGTACAACGCGAGCTATTTCCACGAGTGACTTCTGTGTCAATTAGCTAGGAAGCGATTGCCGAGTATTGAATAAACTGTAATCGTTCAGAAAATCTTGTCGCTGAATCATTCAATTAAGCTCATTACTAACTGCCAGACCGCAACCGCATTCTTCGGACGTGGTGTGGCACGCTCAAGTTTTTCCGCGCTGTAAAATCGCACCGAGGTAATCGTCGCGGAATACCAGCGATTATTCCGACGCGATTTCAGCCGGGGCGTAATTAAAACGTATTAAGAAAATATGCGACGAATGGAGAGAGGGAAGACATCTTGCGTTTTACACTTTTTGCGTCTCGAGGAAATTAATGCGATGAAGAAGAAGCGTACTACGAGATCTCACGAATATTTGTCATGGGAGCCGACTGCGATTCCAATAAGACAAATGGGAGAGCAGAAACTTACGTCGCAGGTACAAACTGCACAAGTGTCGAATCCTACTGGCGGTAGATACGGATGCCAGGATGATCCCGCGAGGTGATATTGTCCCGCCAACGTGCAACCTCTCGTGGCATTGTTCCTGGTCGTAGCGTTAGTCTCGACAATCGGATCTGAACATTATTAACGAAACATTAAACGTCGACAATGTTTAGGCGTAACTTCATTAAATAGCCTTACAATACAACCTGTTGTTGGAGCGTAAATTTAATTTGTTATCGGACGTTTAACGCGCGTTTCTTTCACAAATTTTTACTACGCAGTACATTTTACTCTATGCTATCCTTCACTTGCGTGAATATTTTTGTTCCGTATAAATTTGGAACTTGCTTTCAGTCTCAACAAATAAGTAAATAAACCCTTTACCTGCGCATATCACGCAGCAATGACCGCTCGGCGGTTGCTTGAGTTGCTTCCCCAAGCCGCAAGAGATTGTCGGACATGGTACCATGTCGCATTGCGCCAAGCCGCGATAGCAATGACACATCGAGCAGGGGTCCGAGCTCGAAGTCCACTGCGTGCCCTCCTCGTAGAATCTGGTCTCGTGGAAGCACGCGCCGGTCTCGATATCCGGCCTGGGCGGCTGCAGATTGTACGCCACCACGGAGGCAACGTCGTTGTCGGCGTAGTGCGGCAGGCAGCTGAACGGCGCCCTGGCTTTGAAGGGGGCCTTCAGGATGTGGGTGACCTGCTTGTCCGTCACCTCGAGGTAACCGATGCCCGACTCGATCCTGTAGAGCTCCATCGGCGACAGCCCGGTAACCGAACCCTCCAGGGAGTATCCCGTGAACTCCTCGAGCAGTCGCCTGGCGACGGGTGCCCCTTGCGCCAGCATCGGCATCGTCTCCAAGTACAAACGGAACGTCCGTGGTTCCTGCGAGGAGGGCGGGAAACCGGCGAGCTCCAGCTCGTAGTGCAGGGAACAGTCCAGGTCCACCGCGGTCCATATCAGACCGACCGGTCCGGGATGCGTCGGCTCCTTGCTCAATCTCCGCAGCAGCACGGGCGCAGCCGTGTCTCTGGCGTCCGCCACGGGTCTCTCCAGGAGTCTGCCGCGTAACATGGAGCCGAGATGGCTGGCGGCGACCACGGAGAGCTCCTCATTGAAGAGCGGCTGCAGTAGTCTTGGCCCGGGCCGATCTAAAGAACCGTTCGCGAGACCGCCGACCAACGAGGGTGTCAGATCCTCGAGTTCCATCCTCCTCTTCCCCCCCTCGTCCACCAGGGTCACCAGGGGGCTCTCCTCTTCGAGTCCTATCAGTTGTACTCCGTAACGTAGCGCGCCGATACGGTCCAGAAAGGCCCAGGCCAGTCCGGACGCCATGGACGGCGTCTCCGACAGCAGCAACGTCTGATACATGTCGCAGGTCGCGCGCGGGCCGACCGTGCCTATCAGCCTAACAGCCTGCGGATCCTTGCGGGACATTATGCTGATCGTCAACTTGCCGCGGGCCAAGAGACGAAGGTCGGTCCCGGAGATCGCGCTGCGGACCTCGCCGTAATTCAGCTCGTTCGACGGCTTTCTCACTATTATCTCCTCGCGGAGCACCACGTAGTCCTTCTCGTGGTGCTCCAGCTGAACGATCAGCGGAATATCAGCCACGTCATTCGGCAGGAAGAGGCCGTTGAAGACGAGAGACACGTGGATCGACGGCGCCGAGGCGGACGAGGCGGACACGATCGCTGTCGCGCCCGCGCCGGACATCAACGACCGGTCGACGCCCATCGCCGGCTCCAGGAGCGAGGAGTACTGCTCGGTCGACAGCGCGCGGTAGCGCGACAGCTGGCCGGTCAGGCTCGACGAGGGCTCCCAGAGGAAGGACACGTGCAGCCGTTCCTCGCGCAGCAACTTGCGATAGTCGCGCGGCACGCGTCTCCACACGCCGCAGAGCTTGCCGGTGGCGTTCTGATAAGCGCCGCCGACCGGATCGATCACCTGCTCCTCGAGGATGCTGCCGGACCCGTCGACGAACTGTATGCTGCGCGGCCGCGGTGTCGACGCCGACAGATAGAACGAATAGTAGATATTCTTCCGATGGAACGTGAAGCGCCCGGTCGCCAGGTAGTTGTACGCGCTGTTGTAGACCGACGTCGGACTCGGTTCGTCGCGGCGCAGGGACTGCGACGTCCTGCCCGTCAACAGGGTGCCGAAATCTGTAATCAGCGGGGATCCGCTTGAGCCGCGAGGAGCCAGTGTAGCGACATTTCGCGAACAGCTAAGACGTTGTTTCATGACCCCTGGTCCACAATCTTGCTTTAAGTAAGCTGTAAGCCTTAAGTCGTAAGAATTAACCGATCACAGGGATTTATTCCCCTCACTCTCACCTGTGATTAGTTAAGTTCTTACGGATTAAGGCTTACAGCTTACTTAAAGCAAGATTGTGTAGACCAACACTTATTGTTAGAGCTCGCTGGGTCTCTTTGAGTCTCCGATGCCAATTTCCGGGCAAGTACAAGCTTTGATTTGGAAATCAAACGTGTGTACGCGCGTTAAATTTATAAACGGAATATTAACAAATCTTACGTTTCAGGCTCCGCTCCTCTTCCTCCGAAGTCAATTGCGCCGGCAGGTCCTGCGCGATGTCTGCGTCTGCAACAAAGGGTTTATTCCGTCGTAAACGCGGACGCGGACGTTTGATCGCTCGGTCGTTCAACGCGCAGTACCTTGGGTTCACGAAGAAAGGATGAATTTGTGAAATCCGCGTAAAGCTGGCGCCTATGCGCAATTCGTGATCCATGATTCGCAGAAATTCGTTGTTACTTAACATCTTTTCGCGATTCGCAGTTCATTATTCGTAATTTGTTATTTGTCGTTTCGTTTGTGTTAACTTGGACAACTCTTAACCTTTACCTGTTACCACAGGATTGTATCATAAGTCTACAATTAGTCAAGTGTCAGTGTTAGTCAAAAAACCGCTCGGCTAGCGAATCACTGCAAATGGCGAATCGACCAACTTTTCCTCCACACTATTCACGAATATACGAATCACGAATCGCGCATAGCGTAGTGCTGGCTTAAATATAGGTAGAGGAAAGTCCTCTATTATGAGATGAACTTCTATTATAATACGAGACAGCAGGTTTTCAACATTTAAATTCAATCGCAAATCCTTATTCACAACGATTGCACGATCCAACAATGAATTTTGCACTAAACAGACTTCACTCCAAGGACAAAAAGTTCACGACGAAGCCAACAGATGATGCCTATTAATTTATAGCAAAAAAACCCCGCCACCTCGTATTAGGAGCTTATCTCATAATAGGGGGACTTTCCTCTGCTAAAAGTTCCCCCGGGCGATCTTCGCGATCCGAGTCTCCCCCGTTCGGAAACTGGATGGGTTTTACGCTCGAGAATAATTCGCAGAATATATTAGAACGATAACGAAAGCGTATTCCCAAGAGGGCGCGTAAATTATACCGCGCGTCGGAATTAACGCCACGTAACTCACGCGCGATATAAAGCCAAATGTATAATATATTCTACGCGCCAGGACTCTCGGGAGGATAAAACTTCTCGCGCAGGAGAATGGCTCGAGTCCTTTGCACTTTGCGTCGGACGCATACACCGGCGGCGGCCTCCTCTCTCTCTCTCTCTCCCCTATCCTCCGTTCCCCGAGCGTCTCCCCCTCGAGACGGGCGTAAAAATAAAAATAACCGGTCGATCGTCGATCGTCGATCCCCATTGAGCCGATTCAGCGGCCGGTGGTGGCATGTGCACCGACCATAAAGTATGCCCGCGCGCGGTAGGAAAAGAGTCGGCTGGCGCCAACCGCCGCTACTTTGAATGCTACTTTTATGGCGCATGCCGCGCCGGTTCAGCGCCACGGAGACGTTAATTGCCGCGCGCAAAACGTACAGCACGGCCTCGCCCGACGGCCGACCAGTTACTAACTAAACCGTTTCCGCCTACCTAATCGGATCTATGGCGACCGATGGCACCGGCCTGTCGCGCCATTAATATCGCCGCGAGACGGATATGAGCGATAATGCGGTTAATTACGAGTATTAATTGGACCCACCTACCTACCGCCTTTTTTCGCATCCCCCTTTCCGTTCTTTCGTTTCGCGGATGGACCGGCTTGTCCCCTCTCCCCTCCCCCCCCTCTCGTCGGCGACTTCTCGTCGGCCTTCGCGGCGGAGCCCGGCTTCAAGCGCGGCGCTCCGAAGCTCCAAATCGCTTCGCGACCCTTGCCGCGAACAATGGGCTTTCGACGTGGGTTCGCGCGAGTCCACAATATTGCGTTTCGCAATCGCGGCTAGAAAGGACAGCGCGTCACCTAACAGATATGTCGGCGGCTTATGGTCACACACCGGCGGCCGTACTACCGAAACTTGCCACCTTAGGCATGACATCGTTTCGGGACGAAGGACGACCGTTACTCAGGATTAAGAGTCGCCGAGGAGAGAGATATAAATGTCGCGAACTTTGGACGAACGGCGGAGTGGAGGTCGCAGATAGTCCCGCTCGTTAAGGCCTGCGTCCACGATGCTAGAGCTTGGCCCAAGTTTCGAGAAATGCCAATCACCTTGCAGCTATTCCATAAAAGCTGCAACTTGACTGGCTACGCGTTTCTCGGAACTAGAACTTGGACCAAGTTCTAGCATCGTGGACGCAGGCCTTTGAAGCTGTATTCTCGTGATCTACTAGAATAATTTCTCTCTCTCTCTCTCGTTTTTCCAGACAGCCGCTTGGAAGTTTCGTTTTACCCTTCTCCTGCTGACTCGAGACGCCTACGATATCTCCAAGTTGCTTCTCGCGTCGTCGAGAGGAGCCCCGAGACCGACTTTCGTGGCCGCGCGTCACGGCCGAGACGAGACGGGGAGCGGCGATAACCGAATGAGAATCGATGCGACGATCCAATCGACGGGCTCAAGGGTCGCAGTTATGTTTCCTCGTGGAACGTAAAAGGCGAGGCGTTGCTAATTGCGGCCGGTTTCACCTTTCATCAGCAGGGGGCAACGAGCCCCTATCAGACGGCGGCGACAACTGCCACGACGGCGATGATTATTATGACGAGCGTAGACGAGGCGCGCAGAAATAAACTCGATGCCCGCGCGATATTGATGCGCGAACGTTCTATGAGAATAAATGACCGGCGCGCGGGAGTGGCGCGAGAGCGGTGCAATCATCAAAAATGACCCGCTCCGTCGCCGCCGCCGCCGCCGCCGATCCCGTCGCGGCGCGGACGGCGGAATTGCGGCGACAACGAGCGCTTTATCAAAAGTGTCATATTAACCTAATTGATAATATGCGCGCCTCTCCCGTTGCATCGCCAATAGCCGCCGCGATAAGCGGCCGTAAAAATTTAACGAAACGATCACGATCCCGTCTCTGTTTACGGACGCTCGGAATCGACCCGGCCGGGGCGCGGCGGGAACGGAATCGGCCGAGCGAGCGCGCAAACGGCGCGAGATAAAGCAAAATAAATGAAACGGAATAGGAAGGGAAAAGAGAGCGAGAGAGAGAGAGAGAGAGAGGGACGAAAAAGATCGGCGCGCATATCTCTCCCCGCGCTTCCGCCGAGCGGATTCTCGCCTCCTCCGCCGCGATCTTCCGTCTCTGTCCCTCCCAAGCCGCCGGTCCCGCGTCCGTCCCCGTCTATTCTTATTCCAATCGCGCGCGCGTTATGCCCGATCATTACGTATGCTAATATTTACATTTAGATTGCACGGCTTAATCGAAGTGACGCCATGCGGTAATATAGCCGGCGCCATGGCGCTAAACCGTGGCGTCCGTCCCCGTCCCCCTCCCGCCCCCCGCACCTCTTCCACCGATTACGAACTCGAGTTCCCTCTCGAGAGAACGCGATCGGCCAATCTTCCCCACGCTAATCTCTGCTCCTTTTTTTTCTCTCTCTCTCTCTTTCTTTCACATCCGTCTCTCTTTCCCTCCTCGCCGCTCGGCAAACCGATTCGCTCCGATTTCTTCTTTCCTCACCCACATATTTCCAGACGAGGAGGGGCGGGAGGGGGATACCTGGTTACCGACATGGCCGAAAGTACGCGAGCGAACGGGGCGGCCGACCGCGGTACGGCGCATTAGAAGGGTCGTTCTAATGCGCGCGCGGGGAGGCTTAACGGGTCAATTTGCGATTTTCCTCCGTAGTAAACAATCTATCTATCCGCGCGCGATAAATGCGAGGTGCGCAAAACCGTAAAGGCGATAGTATCGCTATTCGAAGCGGAGCGGTTTCGTGCCAATTCGCGCTCATTACCGTCGGCGCTGGTGCCCCGGCAGCACGCGAGCCTTATCTGGCAGGCTTATCAGAGCGCGCGGGGATACGTACGCTACTTTCACCGCATCGGCGCGGCGGCACGGGCCAAATTCTTCGAGAGCGCACCGCTCCTCCGGGCCGGCCGGCTCTGGCATTCTATTTCCCCTCGCGGAGGCCGATCCGCGCGTATCGCACCTCAGCCGCAGTAGAATGCGGATAGAGCAAAATCGCATAGCCGAGATACCCGAGCGCCGTAGCGCGCGACTCCTTTCCCGATAATATACATCGAGGGGGAACAATACGGACGCGCGCTGCTATCCATTAATGCCTCTGGGCCTCAGTTTTACCAGGATTCACATTTTCGTAATCTTTATTCCCGCACCGGTAGAAAAATATGTAGCATTTGAAACCGTAATTGCATAGTAAAATAATTATCGTCGGGAATATAATTTTTGTAGTAATTATCACTATAATATTAGTAATAGCAACCATATAGGCACAGTGACGCCAACTGCTTAAAAGATTTACTGTAAAATATAGGCTTTTAACTATTGTTCTGTTAAAATGTCCAGGTAATGAATAGTAAATTAGTTACTAATTAGTTATTAGTTATCGAAAAAATGTAACTTAGTTACAGTTACAGATGAAGAGAAAGTAACGAAATTAAATTAGTTACCAAAAAAAGTAACTGTAACTGTAACTTCGTTACAAGTAACGAGTTACTTCCCAAACCTGGTTATACTATGGTATGTGTACATACAGCCTGAAACTCGGTGATTTGTATAGATGGGAAAAATTATAATATGATAAAAGCGCAGGTCCAGGCATTGATGAACAGCAGTGCACGTACGCGGGGTAGGTCGCGTAAAAATCTTATCTCGGGCTTATCTCACCGGTTTCCGCGCACGGCACTTGACGACCGGGAAATAATCGCGGCGGGCGAGGTGAGAAATAATAATTTACGCTAACTGCGAGACTTACTGAAGTCACCGGGGCAGGATTTGCAGCAGCGACCCGGAAGTAAAACTGGTTCGTCGCACGTGATTTTCGGGCATTCGTTCTTGATGTTGCGGCATTGAACTCTCGCGATGATCCGCCGTTTCTTTTGCACCTGAAAGCAGAAGCGAGACAAACGCTAGGAAAATAAGAGCGAAACTATATTTACTTTTGTTTTCGAGACAGAATGGACGAGGCAGAAGAGCGACGCGCGCCCTCGTGCAAATTATTTTTCGAAAGCCTCCTCTCGCTCAAATGCGTCTCGTTTCATCCTCATCTCCGCTTCGCTCGCGTTGCTTTCGAGATCGCGCCCCGACCACAGACTTCTATATACAATACTACTACACGGAGAGAATTTTCTCTTAAAATTTATCCTGAGAATCGTGTGATCGTGGGACAAGATAGCATTTTGAAGAACTTTATGAGTTTTTGGCATGTTACCATACATTTTACTAGTAAAAACTCTCACAAGGTTTCTCAAAATGCCACGTTGTCCCACGATTACACGATTTTCGGGGTAAATTTTAAGAGAAAATTCCGTGTGTGTAGACTGCTACCTTCGAGCTGAAAAGTGAGGCAACAGTCCCGCCATGTCTTGTTGGGCAAATAAAGTAGGATGTGTGCGTCGGTGTGTCGCCGACAGAAGGACGTTCGCGAGGCGGAGGCAACGACGCAGTTGCTAAAAGTGCGGCCGCGAGTCGCGTGGTTCCAGTTTACGGAGAAGAATTAAGTCGGTGGTTTTATAGAGCGGCGCGCGCGCGCGCGCGTGTGCGCTCGGCATTCTTGAAGCGTGAAACGACGCACGTTCGACACGATTGACTCGCGTCGAGAGGAAAGGGAGCAGAGCTGGATTATCTCGCGATCGCGGACTTGGAATTGTTCCGGGGCAGCGCGGCCGAGGCTGCTACCAGCAAAAATTCGGGATGTCGCGGCGCGCGATAAAACCTCCCGCTGTCGGAGCGGGGCGATTTATTAAACTGTCAAAAAAGCCGATCGTTAACAGGCTACTCCTCGAGATCGCGCCGCGTGTCGATCGGTACACGCTTCCTCCCCTCCTCCGCGCGGGGACGAGCGGGGGACGGGCGTCCAACGTCCGACGAGGCGCGACATCGCCTCCCGACGACTTTAGGTGAGGAGACATGGCCTCTTCTCTCTCGCGGCGACGTGTGATTCACGCGACGCGTCTGCTTCTTCCACCAACCAAGACCACGACCTATCAATAGCTCCTCGTGTACACTGAAGAGGGACTGTCATTCCTCCGAAGTCTAAAAATAGAGGCCGCGCTCTCGCGCTCCTCATCCACGAGCCGAACATAACAGCGCGCCGCCGCGCCGCGGCGTCTCCCGCCTCTCTTCCGTCTCCGTCCCATCCATCTTTTCGGTCGATCGTAATATATCTTCGAAGAAAGAAGGATTTTAACCCGCGAGAGCGTCTCGCGCCCACCCGCGCGCGCGCTTTATCGAGGTGCCGCCCCGGCAAAATTTAAGCTCGAAGCTCGAAGCGGAATCGACGCGCTCTCTCCGAATCGCCTCGGTCAAAAATATTATCTCCTCGCTCACAATCATTCCCGTTATTGCCGCGCATTACGAGAAAGATTAGAACCCCGCGGGCTCTAATGATACGACCGTACATGACGACCTTAATGGCGTCGTACACCTCTCCCTCTCGTGTGGCGCGACCGTATAATTAATTTTCTCTTCTCGGTAAACTCATCAGATTGCGTCTCATTAGCATTTACACCGATTACTTATCGCGCGCTTTATCGTCGCTTAGTGCACGCATAAATTCCGTAACATTGCCACATTAAGATTTAACGATTCGGCGCGCTCGAAATTCTCGTGGCGGCTCGGACGATGGACTCGGGGGCTCGCGATCAACAACGACCGGGACGTTCACTCGCGAGACTCGATCCGAATACCTTTCGATTCAGCCTGACGTAGGAGTGCGCGCGCTCGTACGTGGAATTTTCAGGAATGTAACGAAAAAATAGACATACGGCGAATTCGACCGCCTGCACTAGCGCGCGCGCGCGCGCGCTAAGCGCATACAAAGACCTGTTTACAGTTAATTCGTGTATTTAAGGATCGACTTGAATATCTCTTGAAATATTTCCTAGTCAAAATGATCTGTACAGCGTCCGTACGGATCGCTTTTTGGCTAAATACACGGGGAGAATTTTCACTTAAAATTTATCCCGAAAGCCATGTAATCGTGGGACAACGTGGCATTTCGAAGAACTTTATGAGTTTTTCGAAATTTTACCATACACTTTACTTTTATAAAGAGAGAAGACTGGGAAAAGTTTGCAGTAATCGGCGAACGCCGATGAATCACCGCGCGACGGAAGCTAATTGCGCGAGGAGGCGCACTACGGTCGCGCGGAGCGCGCGCGAGACAAATGTTTTCTTGTTTTTACAAGCGACGTAGCGCCTGCCCGACGCGAATGTCAATACGATTACACCATCGGGCGAACAATCGCATTATCGTTCTCCGCGTGCAGAGGCGAAAAGGAAGAATTCGGTATTGCGCATCCGCGACTCGTTGCGTTGTCGCGGGGCAGGAAAGGGGGAGGAGGGGGGGGGGGTGAAGTCGCGCATGTACAATCGGAATATAAATGATTATTGCGCGATCTCGAATAAATATGTTGTCCGTGCGTATTTCGTGACGCACGCGCGAGTTGACTGCTATCGAGTGCCCTTTTCGCACGTCACGCGCCTCGCGGACCGACTTCCGGCAAACGTCACTCTCGTGTCGACTCCGTGGCACTTCCAGGCCCTCCCCTTCCCCCCTCGAGATGCCGAATTATATGCGACGCGCGCGACGAACCGGCGCGCGGGAATGTAATTACAAGAATGTGAGCGCGGAGCCGCCGCGTCTGAGGTTTATCCCGATGGAAATTTGTCCCCTCTCTCTCCGTTTTTACGAGATACCTTTTACGCGACACACCACGTCTCGGTAAACAACGATGCGACCTGACTTAAAAAGGAGGGGGGGAGGGGGAGATAACGGCGCCGCGAACGCGAGGTAATAAGTACCTGGTACGTGATTACGGCGTGTCTCTTGACAATAAATCCGAAGGCGAAGGAGAGGGCGCGATTCGCGCGTCGCTCTCTATTCACGTATGTTAATGAATGCCGGTACTGATTGTTTACTAAACGCTACGTGCGCGCCGAACGCTACACGCGCGACACGCGACACATTCTTAATACGGAGCCCCTGTAGCGAGGGTGTTTCTTCCCTCTCTTTTTAATAAGGAATAAAAAAAGACGCACGTACCGGAATGCATTCGCATTTGATGCAATACATGACCCCGAAGGGCGGTCCCAGGTCCGCAAACCATGTCGTGCCCAGCTCGCGAATCTGCTTGCCGAACATGCATTCTGAAAGGAGGAGAGAGAAACATCATCAGTAGCGTGCTATCGTCTGATCATAGTATAACTATAGCATAACTAGCAGGTCCACTCCGTCATTTGCTTCGTTTTGCGTTCGATCCCTTCTGCGCGTCCGACACTTTGTTGGTCCAGCCAATGAGAGAGTAAAGTTGTATGTGCGGTAGTTTGACGAGTACACGCACGATGAACGTTACTTTAACGGAAAATTTAGAGTGGACTTTTTGGGTCGTGTGAAAAATGTCCAGCCAATGAGAGAATAAAGTTGTATGTTGCGGTAGTTTGACGAGTACACGCACGATGAACGTTACTTTAACGTAAGATTTAGAGTGGACTTTTTGGGTCGTGTGAAAAATGTTAGCTCAACATTTTATTTTCTAAACAACAAACATGAATGGCCAATGCGAGAGTCTAAGGCAGGACGTAGACAGCCGTTCCTTGTAAATTTTATTAAATTGTGAATTCGTATTCCGTTTCTTTTATTTTTTTTACTGTGCGCCCGCTGCTGGATTTGGACATGGCGGAGTACCATGTGATCGGGGACCGCAAAGATCGAAGGGGCCGACAGAGAGTGGACCTACTAGAGTTCTACTACGGTCTAATAACATTAGCGACATATAATAGCATAAACATAAATATCATCTTATCCGATTTGCGGTTTCGTCATCTCATCGATCGCTGCGAGCTTGTATTTCGCGCGACATTATGAAAGTGTCATCGGGGGGAGGAGGGAAAGATATATTTTAGGTGTAAAACACGCGGCTCGACCCACGCTGACGCACTTCCGTTGCCATCATCGACGAATGAGACGCAATTCGATGCGCGTATAACGTAACGCGCTCGGTATGTATGTATTACGTTGATCCGCACGCATATTCATTCGCATTCATCGGTAATATGCGTCGCGCGTTCATTCAAACCACTTCGTAAACCACCGTGTCGTGTGCGAGACGACGCGGCGAGCGACGCGACGCGTCATTCATCCTCGATGCGAAACTCGGGGCTCTTGTTTGCGCATTACGGACGCACCGTGTGCAACCAGCTGGTCGACGGCGGTCGGCGCAGGCAAAGCGGACGGGGGTCTCTCCCTTTCTCTCTATCTTTGCCTTGTTTTTCCCGGTGATTCCTTCCTAAACTATTTATTATATTTTGTACAATTATTGTATTCTATCAATCTTGCGTACGTTTATTTCTATTTTCTTTCTTTCGCTATACTGTATTATGCAAGTTCTTTTCTGTTCTACGAATACTAGTTACGATAAATTGTCATGATATAATTTGTCACATTGTCATTACATTTTAGAGGGGGGAAAGGGGAGGCAACAATAAGTCCCAGAGCGTTTAATAAATGATGATTCTGATTCTCTCTGTCTGTCTGTCTGTCTCTCCACGCGGCCTGCCGCACCGAATCCCGATTGCCGGATTGGTTTTACAGCGCGAGACGTAAATCCCAAAGCGAGAGAGAGGAGAGATAAAGACGAGTCCGTTATCTCCTACAACAAGCTGGCGATAACCAGTAGCAAAACACGTAATAATACGCTTCATTAAATCGATAACAATATCGATCGTCTTTCTCAGCCGATATCCCCCCCCCATCCCCCCGGGGCTCGTCATCCGTACGCCAGACGGAGGAGGTAAGAGAGGGCTATTAGCAGTGTAATTATCTTCCGCCGCGATATAATTATCGTCCTTTCCTTTCCGCGTAAAAATAAACACGGGCGTGGGGACGCCCGAAAATAACGCGATGAGAATCGCTTGCGTCTGTGTTACGCGCGCGCGCGCGCGCGCGTGCATCTCAAGGCGTCCTTATTTTTGCGAGGCGACTGTAACGCCGACTTTTGTTTTTTTCTTAATCCGGCGGCTCTACGGTCAATCCGAGATTGGCGCGGATCGGCATCGGGATTGATTTTTATAGAGGCACTCTTACACGAGACGTATCTCGCTCTTGATGTTGTGTAAACGAAAGGAAAAGTCGATTTGTTTCTTATATTATATTGACAACCTTCGTCCTTTTAATTCCTATAAATCAAGTGAAAAGCTAAGTATTTACTGTGTGGATACCTGTGCGTGCGCGCACGCGCGCGGGTGTGTGTGTGCGTGTATGCATGAGGGAAAGAAAAATAGGAGGTGACGAATCAAGGATTTTTTATGTCGAGTCGAATTTCCTTCATCGAGTCCAAATCGAATTAAATCGACAAACTTTCATCCGAATCGAAGGGAAGCGAACCGTTCAAATGTAATTTTTAATTAATATAGTTATGGTATATTGGACTGAATTTTAACGCGCAGACAATGAGAGAATATTTTTTACGTGGTAATATTGATTAAAATAAAATAACATAATTAATTTTATTATTAATACTCTTTGATTTATTATAAAACTTAACCACGTTCTAACGTTACTCACTGTTAGTCGCTCAGTGAGCGGTTACAGCACCGTGTACACCCACTGAATATAGCTATTAACACGACCGTACTGTTTTCCTTATTGACGGTAAATAAAATTTTATAAAATTGACAATATTCATATTCGTACCATCTACTTAGATTCGCAATTTTCAAATTCGAATCGAACCTGATCTCACTCGATTCGATTAGAACTGATTCCTATTCCAGCAGTTTGCGCATCCCTAGGGAGAGCGGAGAGAGGACGTTGTGAAAAAACTACATTAGCGAAATTTTCGGTATCGGAAATCATTAAGGTACTCAAAAGCTTGCAAAGGGAAGGAGTGCGAGAGAGAGAGAGAGAGAGAGAGAGAGAGAATTAGAATCTTTACTTATTAAAAGCTCTGGACACAATGCTGCGCAGAACAATAATTGCGAGTGAGAATGAAAATTTGTATAATAACAAATTGTATAATAACAAAAGAATAGAACATAGGAAAATGTATGGAATATGCAAAAAGATAGTATATAGAAAGATGTTACAGATAACAGAGAGAGAGAGAGAGAGAGAGAGAACTCGGTCATGTGCGAGTTAGAGAAAGGGAAATGGAGAGAGGCCCGTTTTGCACGAGGTCATTGCACTGCGCGCGCTAAGTCGTTCTAAGCGCAAAGTCGCGGCCCTAAGTAACTAGGAGTCCGAGAGAGCCACGACACAAGCTACCGCATCGAAAATATGCGAGTCACGCGGCATAGCGCGGTAAGGTGAAGCGTATTAGGTCTCTCCTCGTTTTTTTTCTCTCTTTCCCTCTATCTCCCTGTCTCCCTTCCCAATAGCAACGGCTCCTTCGGCTCTCTCTCTCTCTCTCTCTCTCTCTCTCTCTCTCTCTCTCTCTCTCTCTCTCTCTCTTCGCCCGCGTTTCTCCCGCGCCACCCGGGGTGGCTTTCTCGCGCGACGCGACACGCTTCTCCGCGTGTGCACACGCGTGTTAATATAAATCGAGTTCTCCCCGACACAAGTGCGGCCACTTACTGCGATCGTTATTATCGCGACTTTGTATACGAATAATCGCGACTTGACGCACGGTGTTTGGGTTGGGGAATTAATAAACGACGCTCCGCGACGTACTCGCAACTCATCTCTCGCGCGCGTACGTATGCTCTTGCCAACGGGACGAAATAAATTTCTCCCCTTTGTACACGCGCGCGATACCGCGTGTCGCTCGTCCAGCGAGGAAACGTGAATTCTAACCGCGGAGGGGCCGGCGGGACCGAATAAAGCACTTTCAGACGTCGTTTGGGCGAGAGTGTCCGTTAGGTGCCGTGCTCGAGATATAGACGTTGCAGTTGCTCGCATTCGTAATCCACGGCGTCCGGTGCCCTCGAGCGACACTCGCCGATAATGATAACGACCGCGGTCCGTCGACGACATTAAACCGACGATCGCTTCTCTCGACTTCTCTCGCCCTCGAGCTCGCGGGGACGCCGCGCTTAAAATCGCGGCCCGACTTCCCGACGGGGGTCCAGAGGGGGGAGAAAATAAAACGTGGAGTTCGCGCTATGCGGTGCCATGAGTACGTCTTCGCTCGCTAATATAAATAATGCGAGCGTGGAAAAGGAGCGCGCGCGCGCGCGCGCAACGGAATGCACCGGGCCCCGTAATCCGCTAAGGAGGCGGTTAAGCGAATGGCAAACACGTGCTACACCTTTCGTTTTTCGCTCTTCCACCCTCTCCCCCCCCTCCACCGCAGCGATCGCACTTCTGCATCCTTCTCGGATAGATTTACGAACGTGACGTCTATCCGCTCGTACCTCTCGCCTCCCCGCGCCCCGCCTCTCGCTCTGCCTTTCGGCATCTACCCGCTCCGTCTCGAGTTTCACATCACCTTTAGCATCGTTCGTTCGCTCGTTCGTTCGCTCGCCCGCTCGTTTGCATCGTGACATCGTGACGCGGGGCGTGCATAAGACGGTCACCCGTCGGGACTCGGGAGGAGAGACGCGAGAGCGCGACGAAAACAAACGCGGCCCCGGCTCGATCGCGCGCGGTCACAGCCGATCGAAGGCGCGTTGTTGACACGTCGATTCTCTGCCAGGAGCAGGTCTGATCATCTAGACCTAGAGGATGATCCTCGTTAATGGCACTTGGCACATCGCGGTAATGCAACCAGCGATAAATTTAATTTCGCGCTTACGGAGGGAGACTTTCGTCGGGGACGGTATAATCGACGCGCGCGCGCGCGCGAGAGAGAGCGATACCTGCGCGCGGAGCGCTCTATAATTACGCTAGCGTCCCGGAGGTGTCCGAGCGCGTATCGTACGTCACGTGCATCGTCCGCGTCACGGATGTGACGCCTTACGTAACGGCCGCGCGTGACCGTGAAGCGGCTCGGTCTGGACCGCGCAAGAGAGATGCGACGGGGGGCCCTTACCTCCGTGAGACGTACCGGCCGAACGAGCGCCACTTTCTCGAGCGGCCACCACCGCGTCTTCGCGCCGCGCCGACTCTCAAAGCCTTGTGCCCACGGTCCAAGAACTCTGTCCAAGTTCTAGTTCCGAGAAATGTGCAGCCAATGAACTTGCAGCTTTTCCATAAAAGATGCAGGTCGATT